TGCTTGTCAATTTTGTTATTTATTTCATGTACTGAATTCTTTTTTTTTTTTTGAGTTGGAATCTTACTCTGTCACCCAGACTGGAGTGCAGTGGCTGCTACTGGCCAACACAGCCTTGACCTGCTGGGCGCCAGCGATTCTGCCACCTCAGCCTTCCAAGTAGCTGGAACTACAGGCGCGTACTACCACACCTGGCTAATTTTTGATTTATTGTAGAGATGAGATCTCACCAAGTTGCCCAGTCGGGTCTTGAACCCACGGGCTCAGGCAATCCACTCACTTCAGTCTCCCAAGGCGCGGGATTACAGGCTGAGCCACCGGGCCCGGCTGTACTGAATTCTTTATTGACATCATATCAGTTATCAGTTCCTTCCTTCTTTCCTCTTGTCTCTCTTCATTTCTATTCATTCTCTCTATTAATATCTTGATCTCTGGGTTTGTGGTTTGGGACCAGTGGTTCTGGGGGCTCTTCATTGTTTGAGTTCCAAAGTCTGTATTCTCAGGTGTTGTCTTCCAAGGGGTCTGTGTGGGAATTGTTTTCTTTCTTTGATTCTTCACTTGTGGTGGTTTTCCTCCCCCTTTTGCCTTCTTCTTTAATTCTGTTACTCAGTAATAGGGGATAGCTTTTACTACTGTTTGCTCAATCCCCTTTTCTTCTTTATGTAAATCCTCTAGATTTGTTCAATTTTGAAGCCAGACTGGGAATAAGGGGCTGTGCTTTTTGCAGTTTTGAGATTTGATTAAGGAAGATGGAGGGAGTTACGTGTATCTGCAGATCACAGTAATCACTGACAGGTGTGTGTGCCCCCTGGAACCCACTTCCCACAACCTTACAATCTGTACGTCCCGGAGGCATATGTACGTCTCCTGGGGGCAAAGTGAGATAAGTAAAAGGGGAAGCACAGAAAAAGGAAGAAGGGAGACTAAGAGAAGATGAAGACAGAGGAGAAGGAGAAGGAAAACAGACAGGCACATCAACTAATGAGTAAACAAAGAAATAAACAAAAAACCAGAAAAAGCAAAAATATACAAATAAACATGTAAACAAACAAACCTTATGATGCACTTTCCTTCAAAAATACTCATATGCAAACAGAAAAACTAAAAAACACCAAAAAAACCCACAAGTACTTACTAAAACATAAACAAGAACAGGAAAAAAAAAAGTGGTCCCTCTGTGGCCCTTTTTGGAGCTTCAGGTTCCTTTCCCAAGCACTGCCCCTGCTGAAGCTGCTACTGCAGTAGGGAGCAGGCTCTGGTCTCCAGCCCCTCCTTTCTGCTCTGGCACAGGCCAATCAGGTGGTGCTTAGCCCTATGGACTGCTATGGGAGGAAGGTGAATCAGAACCCAACTCACTCAACTTGTCCACTGCTGCAACTGCTGCCGCCAAGTCCTTCACTCAGACACAATGTGACTGTACCTGGTCCAGCGTGGTACATCTGGGTGTCCTTCTCTCTGTGTCCACTCCTGAAGTTTCCTCTCAGGATCAAAAATGGTCCATCCCAAAGGTTGTGCGAGATCACCTCTGGATCCCAGGTTGAAGGCTGAACACAGTCGGGAGGTGGCCTGTGCAGGTCTCCGTCCAGTCCCGGGACAGAGAAAATGGCAGTGGTCGGCGTTTCCTCACAGGTGGCAGGACTCAGCTTCAGATTTCCTCACCATGTCTTCTCCACGGTTCCCTTTGCCAGTGCCTGACCAACTGCCGTGGGGAGTGATGTGGGTCAGGTATCAGGTGCTGGGAGCAGCTGACCTTTGCTGCCTCCTCCCAAGAGACCCCCAAGAATGGCCGATGATCCTTCATGCTGGGTGCTCGATCTTAGGGCAATGGTGGGTTTCAGCTGCCTCCAGGGGGGAGCCCCGGGTGCTTGATCTCAGACTTTCACTCACCCAACGGCAATCACTCACTCACTCATTCACTCATTCACTCACTCACTCACTCACTCACTCACTCACTCAGTCACACAGACAGTCTTTATGGACACGCTCTTACAAAGACTTTCACACTCCCATCGGTTCCTTCACCATCTTGCCTTCCTTCCAACAATCTATTTTAAATGGATAACAACTTAACCTCAATTACACACAAAATTTACATCCCCTATCCTCACTGTATATCATCAGTGTCACAAATTATATCTTTTTATATTTTGTATCCATTGACATAGTTTTATAATTAAATTATTTTTATATTTTTGTCTTTTAAAATTCTATACCAGAATTAAAAGTGATTTGTGTACCACCATTACAGTATTACAGGTTTCTGTATTTTTCTATATTTTTACCTTTTCATAGAGCTTTATATTTTCATACACTTTTGTGCTGCTTTCTAATGTCTCTTGTTTTCAGTTTTTAGAACTCCATTTAGCAATTCTTTTATGGCAGGTCTGGTGGGGATAAACTCCCTCCGCTTTTGTTTATCTGGAGAGTTCTTTATTTTTCCTTCAATATTGAAGGACAATCTTGCCAGGTATAATAATCTTGGTTGTCAGCTTTCTTTTAACATTTTGAATATATTATCCCATGCTCTTTTGGTCTGGAATGTTTCTACTGAGAAATCTGTTGATAATCTTATGAGAACATCCTTGTATATGACCAGTGTTTTTCTCTTACTGCTTTCAACATTGTTTCTTTGCCACTGACTTTTGACAGAGTAGAATATCTCTTCATGTAGGCCTCTGTGGGTTCATCTTAGTTAGGATTCTTTGAGCTTCTTGAGTTTGAATGCCTATTTCATTCCTCAGGTTTATATTTTCAATTATTATTTATTCAAATAACCCTTCTGTCTCTTTCCCTCTCTTCATCTTCTGTGACTACAATAATATGTATATTGGTTCACATGATGGTGTCCCACAAGTCCCTTAGGCTTTCTTTACTTTTCTTTATTCTTTCTTTCTTTTTATTCCTCTAAGTCAATATTTTCAAATGACACATATTCAAGTTTGCTGATTTTTCTGTTTTGTCAAGGCTACCAGTGAACCCCTCTAATGAATTTCTTAATTCAGATATTGTACTCTTCAGCTTCAGAATTCCTGGGGTTTTTTTGTAATTTCTCTTTGTTGATATGATATTCTCATTTTGTTCATGCATCATTTTTCTGATTTCATTTGTTTTCTGTGTTCTCTTGTAGTTAACTGAGCTTCTTTAAGATGATTATTCTTATTTCTTTGTTAGATAATTATTTATTTCCATTTATTTAAGGTTGATTTCAGGCAATTTATTTCATTGGACTTTGTTTTCCTGTATGCCTTGTTATCTATTTATATATATATATTTGTGCATTTGAAAAAAACAGCCACCTCTTTCAGTCTTTACAGACTAGCTTCATCATCCAGGGGAAGACTTCCGCCAATAAGCACAGTTAGAAATTCTGAGGGCTTCTCAAACCTTTCTTGGGGATGTATCTTCCTTGGGCTTGTGTGTGTAATTTTCCAATTAAAGAGGTTTGCCGGTTTTTCAGGAGTTTATAATCTGTTGCTCCCTCTGGTGTCTGTAATATTGTAGGTTCTCTTACACTGCAATAAGCCACTGAGCTGTCTTTTGTTCTCAGCAGACCCCAGGTGTGGAGATTATGCTGATCCTGTCAGCACTCTGAGTTTACAGACAAAAAATAGTCACTGGTGCAAACCTCTCTAAAGCAAGAACATTGGACATATTTTACACTCTTTTTTTTTTTTGAGTTGGAGTCTCACTCTGTCGCCCAGACTGGAGTGCAGTGGCCACTCCCGGCCACTGCAGCCTCGACCTGCTGGGTTCAGGCGATCCTTCCACCTCAGCCTTCCAAGTAGCTGGAACTACAGGTGCACCCTACCACGCCCAGCTAATTTTTGATTTATTGTAGAATGAGGTTTCACCAAGTTGCCCAGGCAGGTCTCAAACCCACAGGCTCAGGCAATCCACTCAGCTCATCCTCTCCAAGCGAGGGATTACAGGCTGAGCCACCGAACCTGGCTGTACACTCTTTTCTTTCCCTCCCAAGGTAGAAACTGTCAGTTGAGCCTTTTCTCCTGATAGCAACAAGCTGTGCTGGCTTGAGAGAGGGGTGATTATGGATGAAATAGCTTTTTTTTTTTTTTAAATAGGCTATTCTTGTCTTTTCTTTTCCTTTTTTTTTTTTTTGAGTTGGAGTTTCACTCTGTTGCCCAGACTGGAGTGCAGTGGCCGCTTCCAGCCACCGCAACCTCAACCTGCTGGGCTCCAGTGATCCTTCCACCTCAGCCTTCCAAGTAACCGGAATTACAGGCATGCGCTACCATGCCTGGCTGATTTTTTTATTTATTGTAGAGATGAGGTCTCGCTGCCCAGGCGGGTCTCGAACCCACGGGCTGAGGCAATCCACTCACCTCAGCTTCCCAAAGGCGTGGGATTACAGGTTGAGCCACTGAGCCCGGCTTATTCTTGGCTTTTCACTGGACTATTCTTGGCTTTGAGCTAGCCTGATGTGTACTATGATCTCTTAACTGGTTTCTGGAGTTCTTGCAAAGACTTTTTGGAGCATATACTGTTGAATCAATGAACCTGTCAGAGAGTGCAGTCTGAGGCTCCCTATTCTACCATCTTTCTCTGAAATCAGACTTTCATTTTTTAATTCAATATATTTCTTATTGTTTGAATATTGTACAGCCATCACATTTTATTTTAGAATTAGGAGAAATATTCAAATTCAAATTTTAAAATATTGAAGAAAAATGTTTCGTTTCTAAGAAAGGAAAGTACGTAAGGATCACTGGTTTATAATGTTTTATTTTAAGTTATACTAAAATAAAGTAAGAATTATTCTATATTCATGTATATTATACAAACCTCCCACTATTTGTGACCTTTCCTAAATTCTGTAGCCTTAGCAAAAGTGTTAAAAAAGGTCCTTCGTTATAGTATAAGAAATAAATTAACAATACAGACTACTAGAAGGCAAACATGTATAATATCCTTAATCCATATAGATAAGAATAATTGGGAAATAAGTTGATTTATTGAGTTTTGTTTTTTCTTTTGTGGTCTAGGCATTAGGATTCTTGTCTTCTTATGGAATAGGAATGGAATATGATCAAGCCAAGGTAAGATCATTCTGGTTTTTTCTGGAACAAAATTAGTATCTTTAAATGGGACATTGAACAGAGCATCTGCTCTTTAATTAAAGGGGTCCACTCTAGTGTAGTGGTTAAAAGTACCTGCTCAATAGTGAAATTTAACATTCTTATACCACACATTTCACAAAGTCTCATATTTCGGATTCTTCATTGAAAGTAGATATTGTCGGTTTCATAAGGTTTTTATGATAATTAAATGACATAAGCAATTCACTTGTCACAGACTCCAGAGCTTGGTAAACCCCCAATAAATAACAATCATCTTTACAGAGGAAAAGAATGAAATTTGAAATTTATTTTGGAGTAGCTCACGGGTCATTGCTGGGTTAGGAATCAAAAGGTAATGGTTGGTTTGACTTTCAAATTTAGATAATCAATATAAGTTGTTTGTTTGTTTGTTTACTTTAGGCACTGATATATTACACCTTTGGAAGTGCTGGAGGAAGCATGATGTCCCAGATGATTTTGGTTTGTATATTAAATATTCTTGGGACCAAACTGGTATACTATAAATACAGGATTGTCCAAATATTAAGAATACATTTTCCTGTGTTTTAGGGATACAGATATTTGTCAGGAATCAATGTTCTACAGAGTTGTGAAATTTCCCTAAATTATTACAAGAAAGTGGCAGACTATAGTGAGTAGTCCACATAATTTATTTTAAGATAAACAGACTTGCCAAGCAATTAAAAAATCAAGACCAGCTGATAAAAATTTATGAAAATATTAAAGATCTATACTTTTAGCATCTGTTATAATACAGTTCTTTTAATACAATATAGAGTTTCTGATACTTTGATAGTTACTTTTCAAATAGTTTTAAGTGATTGTACTCATCTGTTGTTTAGGTTGTCATATATCCCCTCAAAATTCTGTTTTACTTGCTTTTGTGATGTTCTTTACTAAACTAAGAATTTGAATGTAGCAATTCCCCTAAATCTAACACTTAGAATGTGGATGACTTGCTTAAATTCCTAAAGAAATAAATATAAGGCACATACAGTGGAGATATCTGTTACCACATTTGAGAACAATTCAAGCAATCATTATTTCATTACCCTATACTTTGCTACAAAAATAGAGTGTAAATCTACTATATGTTCCTAGAATCATTTTCAAAGTTACATGTAACATTTCATCTTTCTGGCTCAGCCTGTAATCCCACACCTTGGGAGGCTGAGGTGAGTGGATTGCCTGAACCGGTGGGTTTGAGACCCGCCTGGGTAACTTGGTGAGACCTCATCTCTACAATAAATCAAAAAATTAACCGGGTGTGGTAGTGTGCGCCTGTAGTTCCAGCTACTTGGAAGGCTGAGGCGGAAGGATCACTGGAGCCCAGCAGGTCGAGGCTGCGGTGGTCGGGAACGGCCACTGCACTCCAGTCTGGGCGACAGAGTGAGACTCCAACTCAAAAAAAAATAACAACATTTCATCTTTCAACATCACTGAAACAGACTATGTAATAGAGTTTTAAAAGTATTCTAAGAAATGAATAAGGTAAAGTCCATTTGTATAATTTCTGAAGTCAGAATCACATCTAACTACCCCTCTTTGGCACTATTAGAATCTGAGAAAAGAAAAAAGAAGGGAAAAACTACTTTTGAATTTAAAATGCTATATATAACAAAATCATTTCATATGCTTAATGAACCTGGGCTTACTATGTATAGATTTCAAACTGCACGCTTTGTTAGGTATATTCAAGCATATTTTATCTTTATTTTCAAACTATCAGTAGGAAATAATTAAAGAGCAATTATTACTCTTTTATTGTAGTTTTAGTCCCAGAAAATGTTAAGGATGGGGAATCGGTTGTCTGCTCCTAAACTATCTCCTATTTCCTTGAACATCTTTGGCCAATATCTTCAGTACAGTCCGATATATGTTGATACAATATTTGTGTGAGTTGTAAAGAATGACTAGATTTCTTGCACTTTTCTAAAAACCCAATACACAAAAATCAGCAAATTTCTATTTCCCGTGGGTCCTCCTTTCTGTTAGTAGACCAGATTTCTACACAACTTAAGAGAAGAAGCCTAACGATGTTTTCTCTAAGTTGACTGTTATCTCTTGCAGCCTGTGTTTGCTAGCTGTTCTCTGGCTTGTTTCTGTTCACAGTTGCTGGCAAATTGGAAAAAAGTGAAGGTATTCCAGTGGAAAAAGTGAGACTAACTGAAAGACCTGAAAATCTGAGTTCTAACAGTGAGATTTTGGATTGGGACCTATACCAATACTATAAATTTTTGGCAGAAAGAGGAGATGTTCAGATACAAGTAATGTATACAGACAAGACTGAATTTTTAAAACATAAAATTTATAAGGGGCTTTGTTCTTTCTGATTCCTAGAGAATTAGCAATGCCCCAATCTGAATGGAAAAGGAAAGAGACATCCCCTCCTCTTTACCCTACTCCTGCTGTGTCCCCGGCTACTTGCAGTTCCTGTGGCCTACTGGAGAGCTAGTGGCCATAGTAATAGCAATATTTTATTTTTGCATTTCTTCCTGAAAAATGCATTTTTAAAAATACTAGATCTTAATTATAGAAAAAAGCATCATCCAATGTTGGTTTTCATATGAATGAACTCCTATAAGGATCCAGAAGCATTCCATCTTTGGGAATGGGACAGCTCTTGCATGACCTTTGAGAGCCAAAAGTTAAGGCCCATAGATTTATGTGTCTGGGTGTTGCTGTACACCCCCTGCCATTGAAGAAGCCATATACCCAGCAGCAATTGATACCCACTATTTGCAGCTCTTGCCAATAAAAGATATAGTCTGGAATGTTCCACTGCTTCCTTTAAGACATGTCAATTGCATCAAACTGAATCAACACACCACAGTAAAATTATCAAGTGAATATTTTCTTTATTTAAAGTAATACTGCTGCTAAAATCATTTTCAAAAACCATTTTTCCTAGGTATCTCTTGGACAATTACATCTAATTGGGAGAAAAGGTCTAGATCAGGATGACTACGTAAGTCATTCTCAAGATTCAGCCATATAGGGTAGGGAGGACAGTGGTGAGGGAGGCTGGTGGGACAGTGACAAGGGAGGGAAGGGGAGGTAGAAGGGCTGCTCAGGAAAGCCCACCTACTTCCTTGGTCAGATTTGCTTCCCAGCTTATTAGGAAGAACAAAAGTTACTAGAAGGTGCCCTTTTCTATCTGCCTTCAAGTCAAAAGGAGTGGGGGCTTCTCAAGAGCAACTGGGGCAGGGGAGTATCCATGTTCCCACAGAACCTAGTCTCATCCCACTCATAGCACTTTGGGCTGGGATTAGAAAAGGAGAATGCCCCACCTGCCAGCCTTGAGCATACCCCTCCCCTAAAGACCAGACACAGAAAGGCCACCTGGCAGCCTGCTTAGGAACCTAAGGACCAGCTTCATCCCCATTTGGCTAGATCAGAGGACAGGTGACTTTTAATGTAACTTAAAATGTATTAAATATCTTTATACATTTGCTAAGCTCCTTTCAATCATTTTGCTTAACCCTATCCCAGTGAGGTTAGAAGATTAATTAACCATTCAAGTTTACAGTGAAGAATAAAGCAAGTGAACTTAACCTACCCAGGATCCTCCTCAGTAAAGTGCCAAGGTCACAGGATGAGCACTTGCTTAGATAGTGGTCTGATCATCACAGACCAGGGAAGTAACTGGGAGTCTTTCTGAAAAGATGATTTTGGCCCAGGTGCGGTGGCTCAAGCCTGTAGTGCCAGCACATTGGGAGGCTGAGGCAAGAGGATTGCCTAAACTCGGGGCAATCAGACCAGCCTGAGCAACTTGGTGAGGCCTCATCTCTAGAATAAGTCAAAAAAATAAGCCAGGGGTGGTAGTGCACGCCTTTGTTTCATCTACTTGGAAAGCTGAGATGGAAGGATCACCTGAGCCCAGCAAGTCTAGGCTGCAGTGGCTGTGAGCATGCCACTGCATTCCAGCCTGGGCAACAGAGTGAGACTCCAACTCAATAAATAAATACATAAAAGATAATTTTGTAGTGCTTGTCATTTATGGAGCCATGTGCTCCTTGTCATGAAAGAACATAGTTTATTTCATTGTAGTTCCATTGGCTAAGTGATAGAAACAGTTACTCTATAAGGCTTTTACAAAAAAAGCATCTGTTATTGCTTTCCATGTCACTTTATATTGTTATTTTATGCATGTGCCTTTCGTACTATAATTTGTATTTTATATGAGATGCAGTAAACATCAGATAAATGTCAAACAAAATCAATTTTGTGGAATGTGGCAAATTGAGTAGTAATTTAAATAAGCAGAGATGTCCCAAGATAGAGCAATTGAAGATCTTCAGATTTTTTAAAAATCCTAATTATAACCAATGTTTTAGCTTCTTAGATGGGAAATTCTGTCTTCATAATATTACTCCAATGTCAGATTTCAGCCTGCAGATAGTTTCTAAGTTAATCATAGGATGCATAACTAGAAAAAGTTCCTCATTTTCCATAAATATGAAATGTGGTTGGATATGAAAGCATCCAGACCTCAGTTGTAGGGAGAACACACCAATCTTTGCACAGTGCAGTAAGACCCACGAACTAAGTACTCCCTTCCAGTCTGTTCCGGCCACCATGATCCCCAGATGGGAGCTACAGTTGCCTCCAAGTGAGGGTGAAATGCAATCCCAGGGCTGGTGTTGAAGGGTCCAGGGCTGTTCTGCCTCAGCCAGGCATCATCCGGGAGCCCAGTCAGCTTGCTAGTGGGCTCATTCACAGAGGTTTTATTATATCTGTTTTATAAGTGGAGGTGAGGCTGGCAGATAGAGTAGATTGCTTCAAGTCTCACGGATAGGAAGTAAGATTGTTTAAGAAGCAGAATTTGAACTCAGTCCTTCAGAATTCAAAACCTGTGCTCTTTCCATTAAGCTTTATTTCCTGTTGACCTGGGCAAAAAGTAAACAAACAGCAATAACAAAAAACAGCCTGTAAAATCTGCTTCCTCATTTATAAAGCAAGAAGAAGGCATGACATGTTGCTTCTCAAGTACCTTCAGCCCTAACTTTCTGGTAGTTGGTTTGATCTCCTGATTCCCATTTAGATAGCCCAAGAAGGCAAGTTTAATTTCTGAACCATTCCAGTGTTCAGGCATTCTCTGGGGGTAAGCACAGCTTGGTCCTTTCTTTTTTCCTCAGCCTAATGAACATGAACTTGCATGGGGAGCTCCAGTCAAAACCTCAAATCTTAAGACTGATTGGCTTATGTAATCAGCTAGCTCAGTCTGCATAACAATCCACTCCCAAACTTAAGTGGCTTTAAACAACAACCACTTATTTAATTCATAATGTTGGCAGGTCAGTAATTTTGTCTAGATTTAGCTGAGCAATTCTGGTCTGGACTAGGTTCAGGTAATCTTAGCTGGGCTTGCTTACATATGTACAGTTGGCTAGAGTGTTGGTCAGAACTGGTTGGTTTATGGTGGCTTCGTCTTTGACAGCTAGGCTCACTGGGGCTTTTCTCCATGTGGTCTCATCCTCCAGTCAACTGGCCCAAGCATTCCACATGGCAATCAAAGGTTTTGACTATACAAGAGCAGAAGGCTCTGAGGCCTGATCTCAGAATTAACAAAATTTCTGCCACATCTTTTGACCAAAGTCAATCACGAGGCCAGCAAGTTTGAAGGGGTAGGAGAGTGGATGTCTCCTCTTAATAGGCAGAGCTGCAAAGTATTATATAGTCATTCTCACAACTTACTATAGTTCAGTTGCACCAGAATCAACTAGAATGGTAGGGGAGATACATGAGAGAAAGGGAAGATAAAAGGATAAACTTTATTTCTAAAAGGCTGTCACTGCAGCATTTCTCATGCCTGGTTTCTCATCCTTCCAAGTCTACTTTTTATTTGGAATTGATACATAATAATTGTATATGTTTATGGGATACAATGTGATGTTTCAGTACATAAATATATTGTATAATGATTGAATCAGGGTAATCTTCTAAACCATCACCTCAAACATTTATCATTTCTTTGAGGGGAGAACATTCAAAATCCTGTCTTGCAGCTATTTTGAAATATACAATACAGATTATATCATTAGATGCAGAAAAGGCTTTTGACAAAATCCAACATCCATTCTTAATTTAAAAAAACCCCTGAATGCCTAGATACAGAGGGAACATACCTCAAAATAGTAACAACCATCTATGATAAACCCATAGCCAACATATTGCTAAATGGACAGAAATTGGAAGCATTTCCCCTGAAAACCGGAACAAGAAAAGGTTGCTCACTCTCTCTCCAATATATATTCAACATAGTATTGAAAGTCCTAGCTAGAGCAATCAGACAAGAGAAGGAAATCAGGAGTATCAAAATAGGAAAAGAGGAAGTTAAGCTACATCTCTTTGCTGACGATATGCTCTTATACGTGGAAAACCCAAGGGAATCTGTCAAAAACCTCCTTGTACTGATAAAGGACTTTGGCAGAGCCTCAGGGTACAAAATCAATGTGCAAAAGACATTTTATACACCTACTACAAACAAGCAGAGAACCAAATAAAAAAGCACAAGCCCATTCACAATAGCCACAAACAAAAGATGAAATAACCCATCATCTTCCTAACCAGAGAAGTGAAAAACTTTAACAATGAAAACGACAAAACACTGCTCAATGAAATCAAACACACAAACAAATAGAAAAATATTTTATGCTCGTGGATTGGAAGAATCAACATTGTTAAGATGTCCATCCTACCCAAGGCAGCCTACAGATTGGGAGAGGAGAACCTATTCAATAAATGGTGCAGGGAAAGCTGACAGATTACATGCAGAAGAATAAAACAGGATCTCTACCTATCATGATCCACAAAAATCAACTCTAAATGGATCAAAGACCTAAATGTAAAACCTCAAAGTACAAGAATCTTAGAAAATGCAGGAGACAGCCTTACAGAAATTGGAATAGGCAATCAATTCCTGATCAAAGCCCGAAAAGCCCATGCCACAAGAGATAAGATAGACAAGTGGGACCTTATCAAACTGAAAAGTTTCTGCGAAGTAAAAGAAATCATCAAGAGAGTGGGGAGGCAGCCCACAGAATGGGAAAAATATTTGCCAACAGTATATCTGACAAAGGCAGATGTACAAGGAACTCAAACAAACTGAAAGAAAAAACAACAAACATTCGTATTAAAAAATGGGCAGAAGATATGAAAAGCCACTTGTCAAAAGAAGAAATACGAGATGCCAACAGTTACATGAAAAAATGCTCAACCTCACTAATCATCAAAGAAATGCAAATCAAAACCACGCTGAGATAGCACCTATCTCCAGTCAGCATGGTCATCATTAGTAACTCAAAAAACAACAGACGCTGGAGAAGATGTGGAGAAAAGGAAATGCTCCTACACTATTGGCAGGAGTGTAAATTAGTATGACTTCTGTGGGAAACAGTGTGACAATTTCTAAAAGATCCAACAATCAACCTTCCATTCAACGCAGCAATCCCCCTTCTGGGAATATACCTGGAGAAACTCTTATTCTACAAAAATAATGTCTGCATATGCATGTTTATTGCAGCATTATTCACAATAGCAAAAACATGGAACTGACCATGCTGCCCATTGAAACGGAACTGGATAAAAAAAAGAAAACGTGGTACATATACATGGTGGAATATCACACAACCACAAAAAAGGACTGTATTATCGACTTAGCAGCAACTTGGATGACTTTAGAGTCTATCATAGTCAATGATCTATCACAGAAACAAAGAACTGACTACCACATGTTCTTACTCATAGTGAGCCCTGAACATTTATCATAATACTGCAAGAAAGGGATTGGCAGTCGCGGGACACTGCCAGGAGAGGATGGGGCACATAACATCAATAGGGTAACCAGGTGAAGTGAGGACCAGTGAGAGGCCCAAACTTCACCTGTACCATGACCACTTACATACCTAATCCTGAATTGTACCCTACATCTTTAAAAATAAAACAAATATACAATACATTATTATTAACTGTAGTTAACTACTGTGAAATAGATCACCATAACTTATTCCTCCTGTCTAAATGTAACTTTGTATCCATTGACCAGCCTTTCTCTATCCTCTCACCCCCATCCCCTCAGCCTCTAGTAACCTCTATTTTCTCTCTGCTTCAATGAGATCAACTTTTTTAGATTTCACTTATGAGAGAGATGATGCGATATTTATTTTTTTGAACTGGCTTACTTCACTTAACATAATGTCCTCTCAGTTCATCTGTGTTGTAGCAAATAATAGGGTCTTATTCTTCTTATATGTTTGAACAGTACTCCGTTGTGCATATAAAACACATTTTCTTTATTCAGTCATCTGTTGATGGACACTTAGGTTGATTCTACATCTTGCCTATTATGACTAATGCTGCAATAAACAGAGAAGTGCAGATATCTCTTCAACATACTGATTTCCTTTCTTTTGGATATATACCCAGATCTTTGTATGTCAACTTAATCAACTCTGCTCTTCTATCACTTATCCCGTCACACTGTGCTTATTTTTCTCATAGCTCCTATAACTCCCTAAATTATATTGATCTGTACTTGCTTACTGTCTGTTTCCTCACGAAGGCATATAAGTTGTTTTCTGTCTTGTTCACTACAGTGTAACCTGTACTCAGAATAGTGCCTGGTACACATGAGGTACTCAGTAAATATTGAATGAATTAATGAATGAATGCTAGCATCCTAAACATGATATGTTGCTTCTCAGCTTGAAAACCACTACTAGCCGGGCTCGGTGGCTCAGCCTGTAATCCCGCGCCTTTGGGATGCTGAGGTGAGTGGATTGCCTGAGCCCGCGGGTTCGAGACCTGCCTGGGCAGCGAGACCTCATCTCTACAATAAATCAAAAAATCAGCCGGGCGTGGTAGTGCATGCCTGTAATTCCAGCTACTCAGAAGGTTGAGGCGGAAGGATCGCCGGAGCCCAGCAGGTCGAAGCTGTGGTGGCCGGGAGCGGC